GTTTTATAATAAAAAGTAATAAGTAATAATTCTTTTTAATAATTTTATTAAATCTTTTATAATCGATTATAAATCTAAACTTTTTTTTACTTTTCTTAAGTACGAAGAAGATTAGTATTTTTATTAAAAAAGATAATAGTTTAATATAACCCTTTTTAAGTTTATCGTTAATATATTTATTAAATTTATTACGTTTAAGTTAATTTATAAAATATAATAAATAAAACTTAAATTATATTCTTTTTTTTAATTCGATCTTTATATCTTAATTACTATATTTTAATAATCCTATTTTTTTTTTAAAGCAAATAGTTTTATATAAATCCGGTACTTCTTAAATATAATTTAAAATAAGTCCGATCTTTAATTATTCGTACTAAATATAAATATTTTAATAGGTTTTATTATTTTAATAAAAATAATATATTTAGTTTATTTTCGTTCGTTAGGTATTATATAAGACTTATTTAAACTTTTTTTTTTAAGTCGTTTAGTAACTAAGTCTATTTAATAAAATTAGCCGGTTTTTTAATTTATTTATAAATTATGTTTTCGTAATTACGAAATTCTTAAGATAATATCGGTATTTTTAATCTTTATAATATCGTATTTTAATTATTTTAATTAATTATTAATATATATCGTAAGGTATATAGTTTTTTAATTAATATATTTATTATTATAATTAATTTTTTTTTTTTATCATTCGTAAAATATATAGGTTCGTTTTCCGTATTTATAATAATTTATATTTATTTACCGTTTTTAATAAAATAAAAATTCTTTAAACGTTATTATTAATAATAATATTTATATCGTATCCGTTTATTTAAAATTTAAATCGTAAATATTCTTCGTCGAGGAGTATTATAAAATATAAAAATTTATTTATTTTAACCGCTTTTTATTATTTTTTTATAATTAATATATTTAGTTTTTTAATATTTTAAAAGCTAATACTTATTTTTTTTTATAAGCCGTTTGTAATTAGTTATTAAATCGGGACGCCTCTATTTTTTAATAAGTAAATATAATATATTAATAATATCGTAAATATCGTTTATTTTTTTATTAATAAATTCTCTCTTTTTAAAAAATAATTTATAATTTCTAAATACTTTAATATTAAATTATATATTTAAAATATGTCGGTTATATGAATAATTTTTTAGGTTTTTAATAAGCTAATTTAGTTCTTTTTAAAAGCTTATAAATTCTTATTATTTTAATTATTTATTTAAATCGGCTTCTTTTTTAATAATAAAATCGTTAATATCGGGCAGTATTTTATAATTAATTTTTAATTAAATACGTTGTTAAATAACGTCGCGAAGTTTATTTAAGTTATAAAGCGATTATTAACTTATTAATTATTTATAATTTAATATATTAATATTATTTAAAAAGGGGTCGTAATTTAATCCCTTAGTATTAAATTCTATAAATATATCGTTAATAGTTTTTTTATTTAAGTTATTTAATTTAATATTTTTTTTAAACGTAAAAAAGTTTTATTTTAAATAAAGTATATCGTTTTTTATTATTATTTTAAATTATTTATATAACCGCTATTATAAAATAATAAGGACTATTTTTATAATTAAATATTAAAAAATATAAGCGTCTACTATATAATAAGCCTCGCTTAATTCCTTAATATATTAATAATAACGTTTTTTTAATATCTAAAGTCCGTATATTAAATATATAATATTTATTTCTTTATTAATTTCATATTCTAATTAAAAAAGGTTTTCTTTTATTTTAGCTTTTAATCGTTTTTAAAATCGTTATTAAAATAAGGTAAATATTACTTTTACATCTAGTCGTTTTTTTTTTAATAATCGGTTAGTTTTATAATAATTAATTAAAATACGGATATAATCTTTATTATAATTTTTTATTATTAAAAAGCGATATTTATAATATTAAATTATTTTATTAAATATTCGTTATATTATATAAATAGATTTATTTAAAATCCGTATTTTATAAATTAAAATCTTGTTTTTTAATTAAAATAAGTCGTTTTTATTTTTAATTATTATCTTTTTTTTTAATTTATTTTTTATTATTATAAAGGTTTACGCTCGGTTAAAAAAGTTAATAAGTTATATTTTAATTATTTTATATATTATTAATAATATTTAGATATATTCTTTATTATAATTTTTAATAGTCTTAAGGCGTTAAACTATTTTTTATTTATTTATTATAATAAGGGTTTTATTAAAAGGTTTTTTAAAGTATTATTTTAATTATTCTTTACTATTTCGGTAAGTAAAGTAGTTATCGTTATAATATATAGTTTATAAAAGCGATTTATAAAGTACTTTTTTAAAAATAATATTAATCTGTTTTTTAAAAATAGGTCGTTATTAAATTTATTTAAGTTATTTATAATCCTTAGTTATATATTTTAACTTATTATAGTTATAGTATTTAAATTTTTTTTTTTAATAAGATTAGTTTTGATTTATTATATTAAAATTTATAAATCCGTTATATTATCTATAAATAGTAATTTATTAAAGATTATTATTCTTATTATAGCGGTTTTTTTAATTAAAATTACGTTAAAGTTATTATTAATATTTACGTCCTAAGTTAAATTCTTATTATCGTTTTTTCTTTTTTTTTTCTTTTTTATAAAAGCGATTATCGATCTTAATTACGAGTTTAATATATTAAAAAAAATCTTTTAGTTTATTAAATTTAATAATTTCGTTTTTAATTTTATCTTTTAGTCTTTAATAAAATATAAAAATTTTAATATTATTAATAAAATTAAGTTAAATATTAAGTTATTTAAATTTAACTAAGTAATCCTTTATTAATTTAATTTATTAAAATTATAATATATCGCGTTCGGCTTATTATTTCTTATTTAAATCTTAAAAAAGCGATTTAAAAACTTTTTTAAATTTTCAAAATTATAATAAATATTTTATATTTCGGTAAAGTATTTATTTAAGGTTTCTTTTTTAAAATATTCTTTTTAAAAAAGTTTAAACTATTTAAAAGCTCGTTTTTTAAAAAAACTAATAGTATATATAATTTTCTTAATTTCATTACTAAAATCTTTTTAATAAAAGTTTTAAAAGTTTTTAATTTAAATTAAAAATCTTTTTAGGGTTTTAAAAATGCCGTCGAAAGTAATAAGTGTATTAAATTTAAGTTTTTATCGTCCTTTAATAAAAAAAGTAATAATAATATTAGCGGCGCTTCGAAGCGTATTTACTTATTTAATAAGTTTTAAAGTCTTTTTATATTTAATATTAAGCTTTTTAAACGTAATATTAAATAGTTTTTATATATAAGCGATATTATAATCGTTCTTAACTTAAGCTTTTATTAATTAAATAATAATAATATTAAAAAGGTCCGTTAATTCCTTATTATATTAAATATTTTAATTAACGACGCAACGTATTTTAATATATATTATTTTATTAAAAACCGCGTCTTTATTAAAATTATACTTAACGTTAAGTATTTTTATATCTCTTTCGGCTTAAGCTAGCTCAGCATTTAAAACCTAAGGCTTTTTACTTTTATTAAAAAAGGATTCAATAAATATCGTTCGTATTATTTAATAAATTTTTATAAAATCAATTTATTAAATAAAAATAATTAAAATATTACGGTTAATTAATCGTAATAAAGTTTATATTAATAAAAATCGGGGTTATAATATTTATAAATAATAGTTATTATAAAAATAGCTTTAATAAAGCTATTATTTATAAATTATAAAATAAATAAAGCTTCGATAATTAATTATAATTTTATTAAATAAATTTTTAATAAAAATAATTAAAAGCGATTGTTAAATTTAATATAAAAATTAATTATTAAAAAAGTTATAAAAGTTTATCCTTAAGCCTAACTTAAACTATTTTATATATAAATCTTAATTATAAATATATTTTTTATAATATCTTATTTATTATTATTCAATCGTTTATTAAACGGTCGTCCGTTTTATATTTTTATAATCGTCCGTCCTATTTATTTATAAGCGTTTATTCTTTATTTTATTATACGATTATAATTATATAATTTATTTATAATTTTTTTATCCTGAGGGGAGCCGTCTAGGTTCTTATTATTATATATATAGTGTAGTAGCCGCCGTAGGTCTTGTGGGGCAGGGCCCTGGTCTGGCAATACGTGTTGGGTCGTAATATAAATTAATAATAAAAATAATTTAATAAACGCTTTTATTAAATAAAACTTAAATTTAAGTTTAAAACGATTTATTAATAACGGAACGATTATAATATATATAAAAAGATAAGTTATATAAAAAGGGTTTAAAAAAGAAGCGGAAAAGGAATTATAAATATTATTTTTATTAGCGTATTATATATTATTATAAGATCGTTAAATTACTTTTTTAATTATATAAGATTAATAATAAAAAAGAGATAGTTAGTATCGGATTAAAAGCTTAATTCAATTTTAAGTTAACGCTAGCGTAGGGGCTATCTAAGGGTCTTTATATTAGCGTTTAACCGGCGATCTAACCTACGGTTGGAACTTCTCTTTTCCACTTCACGCAGAGATTAATACAAGAGTAATTGACCTTTCGTTACCACGGTTCGATCGAATAAATCACCCTGTGATTACGTAAACTAACAGTAATATTTAGTAGTGAATAGAGTCTGGCGAAATTCTTTATCAATGCTACTATAGGTGTTTAGTGCAGTAGCACGATTATATATAATTATCTGTACAATAATTATAGGACGTCTTTTGACTGAACAAGACGGTTTTCTGCCAATTTTCTCACTCTAGGCGCCGGTAAAGTTGAAGTGGTTCAGCTAAGACCTTCCACCACTTCATCAAGCACCATGCTAGACAACTGTTCCACGTCCTGCAAACCCCTAAACAATAATGGAGATTTCCAGTGTAGTCAGGTGTCAAAACTGTTACCGAGCTCACAGTTTGATTATGTAGCCAAAGACGACCTCTGACCACACCATCAGCAACTATGGCTATTTAAACCAGAACCATTGCCAGGTGTCAGCAGGCTCATTCTCTGAGTTGTTATTATCAGCGACGTATCGCACTCCCATCTCAAATGCGTGAGGAAGAACACCCAGATGATTATGCAGATTATGAACACCAGCCATGACAACTCCCGTAAGACCTGAGCAGAGCAAGCATCAGCAAGGTGTAATAACATAGGACGGTATTTATCATAGTGACATACCTGGGAAGGCTGCATCAAGAATGATATTGAGGCGGTTCTGGGTATCGATCCAGGCTGTCATGAGGAGCGCACGGCCGGCAATCGTGATGGCCGTGGCGGCGGGATGGCCATTAGGGAGGAAGGCGGGATGGAAAGTCGGACCAGGGATCGAAACAAGGTTGAGGCCGCGTTCCTTGATGTCGGTTTTATCGTCGGTGGGCTCGATGTCTGGCGCGCCATTTGAGTCAACATTCTACGTTGTCCGTGGATCAGGTGACATACTGGTTAAGTTGATGGGAGCAAGATTCCCAAGACTGATCGAATCAGCAGGAATATGAGTCCAAGTGTTCTGGCCTGTACATAGTCAGATGGTGTCTGCAAGATTCATAAGTAAAAAGTAGATTCTTGCCTGCTGGTTCGAGCCCTTCAGTAGTGACAGGATCTTCTGCAACAGGCATCCCGTAGGCAACTGCGCCAAGGGCAAGAACAGTGATGAGTTTCGAGGTCTTCATTGTGTTAACGAAAGAACGGTGGTGTATAGATGTTTGTAAAGACTGAGTCAATGTTGGGATGATGAAAGAGTGAAAGATTCGTTCTTCAAAGGCGATGGCATCATGGCTTTTTATGTTTGGAACGGTGCGCGTGTCTTCCATACTGGCGCGCCGACTCTAGAATCAATCGCAGAAGCATTTCGATCCGCCCCAAAGCATTACGAACTCGGATAGCAATGTCGTTAATTTACCTGCAAAAGTCTGATATCTGGGTACAGGTAATCTAAAGGCCCGGGTCACATTGAGCTGTTGCATTGAATGAGGAAAAGTGTCTGAAGACTAGTGGGATAGCTGTGGGATAATTTAATTAGGTTGAGGTCACTAGACGACGTTTATACACTTGTTCAAAATACGAGAAGTCTATGAAATTATTTGGTTCTCATAAACAGTATCACGATGTTTAGTAGGGAATAATCAAAATGTGAACAGAGTGTCAATAGTGTAGCATAAACCTCTACATATTAAATGTGGCTGGGCTCAAAGGGCAGAAGAAGTCTATGAAATTAGAACTCCTAAGGATGTCTCAAGCCTGTTCAGTTTCTTATGCCTTTCGTAAGAAAAGCCATATTTGACCATCTACCCGACCCCTAGCCTATTATCCTTAGGTCAAGTCCCGATTGGGCGTTTAAAGGCGAGCTCCATAAGAACCTTAAAATGTATTGGCTTCAACCCCTATAAAGTTGGAAAAAAACTTCAAGATGTATTGGCTAGCGCCATGGAACCTAGGGCCCTATTAGCCACATAGGGCCCCACTATTCATGTACGGCCAGCCTAGCCGCAAAGTAGCCAGCCAGCCAGCCCAGCCAACTTAACTAGCCTAGCTTCATTCATAGTTAATAATTAATAAAGCTAAATTAAGTCTAATAATATTTAATACCTAATATATAATATATAATGCTTTATAGCTAGTATTTAACTTAATAAATAATAAATAATAATCAACTACATATATTAATAAATAAATAAACCTAAGTTATAACTAATAATTCATATTATATACGTATAAATATATTGAATATTTAAAGATAACACTTAATACTAAAAAGCTAATAGCTAATATTTAATAATTAAAAAGTTAAATGAAGTTTATATATATAGTTAATATTAAAACTTTAAAAATTATATTTAGTAGTTAATAGAACTAAAGATATATTAATATTTAATTAAGAGATACTAAATAATTAAACTTAATAGCTAACTTTAAAAGTTAATAAATAATATTTAATAGTTAATAGTTAATAAATTAATCAATTAAGCTTTAGCGATCTGATGAGTAGAAAAGAAGCTTTGAGATGATTAGTTATAGCCCTTAGCACCTGCTTATAGCCCTCTGCGCGCCCTCTTGACTGCTTACGTACGTGTTGCCCGCCAGCGCTTTCTTAGCAGAAAGGTTTCCTCCTAAGTGTTACGAGCAGCCCAGGGCAATCAATTGTGGCACAAAGCAAAAGCTTCGGCAATGATACCTCGGTAAGTGTGGGACGGTACTAAATATCTCATAAAAGCCTCTCCAGCGTTCCATGCTCGCGATTGAAACTTAATAGCAAGCCGTGAAATATAGTTTTTTTCAGGGCCCTGAGGGATAATAAAAATCACAACTCCTAGGAGGGTTAAGTTAGAGAACCCTGACTCAGTTGTTAATGTCCAATTTCCGTCTTCTCCATAAAAGTACCCATATCTATGGCTAGACCTCTTACGTGTGATATGTCACTAACGCAAAGATATACCAGAATACTACTGTCGTGAAGATATAAGTCGGTCATCTTCCTCCCAGTCAGAGCAGCCATCCAAGCCTGACAATCCATCGCAATCACAATACTCCTACTCTTGTCAAAGCGCTCGACACTCGGCAAAACATGAAGTTTCTTCAGTTCATTTCTCTCACCGCCTTGTGAGAAACTCTCATAGCTTTTCTGTCAGACTTGAATGAACTGACGAATGTTCCTGAACAGCGGTGCGGCAAGCGCCAATGCCTGGATGTGCAACTGTTACTATCCTAATAACCCCGGCGAGGTTGTAGCTATCAAGGTCTGCAATGAGTTCGGAGGAGGGCTCTGCCACGACAACACTTATAACATCAACGGAGTAAGTTTCCACGACGTCTTACTAATCTAGGCGGTTTCAACTAGCATGCGCTAACTATCGCACATTAGTGTATCTTGGACAAGCCCATCACTGATGCCGACTGCGCCAGGCTCTATCCCAAGATTATTGACGGCAAGCAAACCCCGGATCATGACTGGAAGGCAAACTGCGAACACTACACTGGAACTTGCCCCAAGTAGACTTGAGTAGAGATGAACATCGTCTCATCGGAGGAAGAACCCTGGGGGGAAGGGCGACTGGTTGTACAGCGCTTTTGACCTGTAAATATACTGCCGGATAAATGTCGGGTCCTAACATGACAATACTCGTGGTCACGGTGAACCCAAATCCACTTCAACTAGACCGACTCAAAAAAGGCCTTCAATTAAAGTCTGCGACTGATTGCTGCCCCCGTACATTCCGCGCCGTCCCGGTAGGTCATGTCATATACTGTCGGATTGGAAGCCCAATTCGACCTCGAGTCAGCGCCAGCGCAGGGGCCATCTGAGGGTCTCTATATCAGCGTTCAACCGGCGATCCAACCCACGGTTAGAACCTCTCCTTTCTACTTTACGTAGAGATTAATATATAGTTATTTAACCCTTCGTTACTACGGTTCGATCGAATAAATTATACCTGTAATACGTAAACTAACCTCTTATAATAATAAAGGTCTTGCGGCTTAATACGTAGCCCCCTTTTCCCTTTCCTAAACTTAGTTTATATTTTATATAATATAGAAGATGGCAAAGAAGTAATAATGTAAGAGGTAGTAGTAAGGCGACTTTTAGAGAGCCGGGGAGGAAGATGGCGGGGGCGTGAGAGAAAGCCGATTTTGTCGTAGCGGGTGGGTGAATTAAAATAGTTTATAGAAGGAAGACGGAACGGCAGCGCCAGGGGCGAGGCGCAGCCGGGCACCGTTTTGTAGGCTAAGGCATCCGGGATCCTGCTCTTTTAGATAAGCCTGCCCTTATTAGCTTATCTATGGGAGAGAGGACGGGATCCCTAATTTTCCAATGGATATGGTCGTATGTGAAGGATGATATAATAGATTGAGTTGATGATCTCTTGGGATACGAGGTAGGCTGCTCATCGCACCGGTCGTAATCATTTGGCAAATGAGGTTTTTACACATCTCATAAGGTCATGTATTTGGATACGAAGACCTGTTTCTATGAAAGTAAGAGTTGACGGGGGAAACAGTCTGTTGGGTGGACGTTTCCCAAATTGAGGCTGAAGTGCTTTCAATCCTCCTCGCCACAAGTGAATATGAATGTCAAACATAGCAATTATGTGACCAAAAAGATATCTATTCTTGCTTGATACGAAAGTGGACATGAGAATTGCTCGCATCAGTTTGACAAGTCTGAGTTGGCGCTGGATCGAGGCACACAGCAGGTGAAAGAATCTTGCTGCAGCAACACCACTGGGGCTCCTCTCAAATGACTAGAGACATAAGATTGGTTGGTGTCCAGCATCGTCTGTCGGTGATTTGCCTTGATTATAACTCAAAATGACAGCTTCACGTCCAGATAATTCGCAGCGTGGCAACTATGGCAGTGCAAGTTCCAGTCTACCTACGCCCTATGATACGCACCGGAGTGCTCTCCCCCAACCCCTCGTAAAAACAACAATAGTGCCTGTTCCCCATCCAACTGACTGTTGGGCTCCCTGAAGTTGTTGCTGCTGACATCGATTCGGGCTTGTGGATCTGATTGAACTTACTATCAGGCTACGTTCTGATTGGGAGTGTCACCAAGAAGATGCTAGCGAACACGCAGGATCATATCGAGGCTTTCTATATTGATCTTGGCAAAGTTCATGTTGACAAAAGAAATTTGAATGAAACCTTCTTTTCCAATGAGGGTTCGTCTCTGGTAATTGAATCTTCGAATATTGGGAGCTATGAAGCTGTGTTTGCAGGCAAGCAATCATGAGACAATGAAGGATGGGGGTAGTTGCCAGTCCATTAACGATTTGGATCAAAAAGAATCTACATTTTTGCATCGCGTGAAAGTATTCTTTTGATTAGGTATGATAAATCAACGAGTTCTACGTCAGTGTTGTGAATATCTCACTCAAGGCGACATGAGGATGCCGTCGGATGAGAGCTCGGCCCTAGCAGATGAGGTGTTGAAGTTGGGTTCCCCGCACTCCATTGGTCGCAGCCGCCTTTGACAGAGTCTTTCCGTGGTGGGGTGCTACCAGAGCTGATTCCCCCCACAATCAACCCCCGAGTCCAATTTTCATCGTCTTCATCACGCCGACTCCCCGCAGCTAAGATGGGCAAGAACGATAAGAAAACAGCCGAGAAGAAGGATGGGGGCAAGTCTTCGGGGGGAAAGAAAGGAGCCAAGGGTGAGAGCGATGACAAGGGCGGCAAGGCGGCCAAGGGCGCGCAGTCCATAAACGTCCGGCATATACTGGTTAGTATCATGCTTGCGACTGCGAGTTTTCCCCGGGGTTTGACAATCTAACAAATTGCCAGTGCGAGAAGCACGCCAAGAAGGAGGAGGCACTAGCTAAGCTGAGAGACGGGACCAAGTTCGATGAGGTGGCGAGAGAATTCTCCGAGGACAAGGCGAGACAAGGTGAGTGATGTACATCGTCTGGAACGGTGAGAGCCCATGCTGATTGGCACACAGGTGGTGCTCTGGGCTGGAAGACAAAGGGAAGCCTGGACCCAAAGTTCGAGGACGTTGCATTTGCTCTGAGCTCCAGCACGACGGCGAGCCCCGTCTACGGAGAGGCCAAGACGGAGTTTGGGTACCACATCATCATGGTTAGACTCGACAGCAAAAGAGTCCAGCGAGACATGTCCGTACTGACTGGTGCACACAGGTCGAAGGCAGGAAATAGGCAGACCCCACGACATGTTCATCAATCGCATCACATCACAGATATCAATGCTCATTTTGTTTTGGTTGAAGAGTGCCCAATGCCGTTTTTCTTTATTTGTCCTTGATGCATGTTGACCTGACCTCCAGAGGGAGTCCTCCATTTTTTGTTTCGAGATGCCAGCTGAAGAAGCTAGAGTACAACCGAAAGATCGTGAATAGCGACGGTTCCAAATTTCCCCGCCACCCCTCTAAAATTCCTTCTCCCCGTTGTGACGCCCAAATTCAAATCATGAAGTCATACCCAAATTTACTGCTCGGTCTGGAAGTAGTTGAGAAGGATGGAGCGCTCCTGGGACTCTTCACCCCAGTCCTTGACAACGACGCAAGAGCAGTTGACGACCTTGCGGGCGTTGCCCTCACGGTCCAACACGCCTGTGGACCTCTATTAGCCGGTGTTCATCTCTCATTGCGGATGCTTGGCAGCATGGCCACAGGTGTGTACTCACAGAGACCGGCCCACTCGCCGAGCTGCTTGCCGTCGGGAACCTTGATCAGGGGGATCTTGTGCTCGGAGCAGAGAGCGATGACGAGCTTCTTGTAGGCCTCCTCTTCGCAAGCCTCGTTGAGGACGCACATGTGAGCCTGGCGGCGGTCGAGGGCCTTGGAAGCCTCACGGAGACCGCGGGCGAGACCGTCGTGCATGAGGGCAAGCTTCAGGACACCCTTGAGGGCGTCAAGAACGGACATCTGGCCCTTGGAGCCGGCATCGGCGGAAACCTCGACCTCCTCGGCCACCTCGGGGGCGTTGTTCTCTTCTACGTCCGACTGTAGGATGCGCAAGGGTACCGGTTAGCCATGGGTGTCTTTCCGAGTTCAAGTCGACGCCATTATCATCCCTAAGTGGGAAGGCCCAATTGGGGTGCGCGCACGCGACATTTCCCAAGCACCCAGGTAATCCCAATTGAAGATATCGCGGGGAGCCAGGAGATGTGCGTCATTCGGCTGCTGTGTTGGGGAGGGGTTCTTGGTGCGGACTCACCATCTTGAATGTTGTTGGTCAAGTTCCTGTCGGTTCGATCCTCGAAGAGTTATGTTGTGTTGTAATATGGGTAGTGTATGAATAAAGTGAACTTTTGGCGTGATGCGAGGGCACAAGCAGAAAATGCGCTGAAAGATCATTCGTGGAAGGGTCACTTCGCCCGTGCCCTTTCGAGGGTTAGAAATTGTGGGTGGTCCGTGCACCCACAAGCGACCAATTTTTTCCGCTGCAGTGTGGAGATTTTTCCCACAGCCTTTTGACTTTTCTACGACCCGTACCTCGCCCTTTGCATCACGTTCTTCTCACCGACAAACTTGCCAATCACCCCTTCAGCGGCACCGTTCAATCCACGAGGTAAGTAGAAGAGAAAAAAGATGCCAGGGAGACCACCTTGTTTGCCCACGATGGCGACTTGATCCCACAGGAACTCTTGCCTTTTCCTTGATGCCGGAGGAGAGCAATCAGACGAGTCGTGCGATTACGAGACACCGATCATTTTTCGACCTCTTTTTTTTCGCCCTGACGGACGACGCGGCAGCCCCTTGGTTGGCGGCTGCTCGATGCCGACGACGATGACATCTGATACGCTCTCCTCTTCAGCAACGAGCTGGCAGAACCCTCCTGTCGGTCGATCGTCGCCTGGGAGGGCACTCTCCACGCTCAACAGGCCATGGAAGGCTAACATGCAATTTTCTTCGCTGGCAGATACCTCATTTCCCGAGACTTGAGAATCTCCGCACACATCAACCGCCAAGATGGTCCGCACCTCCGTTCTCCACGATGCTCTTAAGAGCATGAACAACGCCGAGAAGGCCGGCAAGCGCCAGGTCCTCATCCGCCCTAGCTCCAAGGTCATCGTCAAGTTCCTTCAGGTCATGCAGCGTCACGGTACGTCAACACATCTACCATCTACACCTTTCTTTCTTTTCATCTTGGAGGACACTTGGATGGATGTACATTCGGCATGATAACTAGGGCGACCGTCTTTCTATTCCCACGACTCAGCCCCTATAAGATGCCGATAGATAAATAGCGGAGGTCTTACAACTTTTTCGGATTTTTTCTCCTGATGTCTAAGCTTTAAACCACCGCGACATTCTCGCTGACCAGCAACACAGGCTACATCTCCTCCTTCGAGGAGGTCGATGACCACCGCTCTGGCAAGATCGTCGTCCAGCTCAACGGCCGTCTCAACAAGTGCGGAGTCATCTCCCCCCGCTACAACGTCCGTCTCTCCGACCTCGAGAAGTGGGTTGTCAAGCTGCTCCCTGCCCGTCAGTTCGGCTACGTCATCCTCACCACCTCCGCTGGTATCATGGACCACGAGGAGGCTCGTCGCAAGCACGTTGCCGGCAAGGTCATTGGCTTCTTCTACTAAGCGTTCGGGAAACCAAAACAAAAGTTTGACGGAAGAGTAAAAAACGGGGGCGTGGGACATTTGGCGTTTGGGGGAATAACTTGGGTTAGCCATGGCCGATACCAGAGGATGCCATTGAGCTAGGATCTCATTTACACCAAAAGCAATGAACTTCAACCAAGACCCCACCAATACGAGCCAGTTCTCATGTGTCAACTCTAACAGTGCAATGTCTGCCACCCAAGTGCTACCTGAATACTGGAACGTAGATGTCGTCTTGTGGATATGCAATATGTACTGGATTCCTGCGAGCAGGGACCAGATTGCATCCCCCCTAGTAACGTTGACGAATGGTTTGCTGTGGCTCGCGATACTCTGACGCTCTGAAAGCCAGAGAGGTCGATTTCTCAGGCCTCAATGGTTCAGGCTGCCGAGTCACTGTCATATACTATGGATTATCTGTGAACACGGCACTACGATGAAAGGGCTGTAAGGGCTTGGCTCTTCATACTGTTCCACAACAGCAGGGTAAACATGTGACGGCAGTGACAACTGCGCGACCGTTGGAGCTAAACGAAAGAGTGTAAGACAGTGGACCATTGCCTCCGAGCTTGGCTCGAGCTGATTGCAAGGCCGATTTGCTCGACAGTCTAGACTTGCTCTACCAATGTAGGTAGACGCCTCGATTACTTCAATCTCATAAAAATGTTTCGGAGGGTTTTGAGTCTCCACGATGTGGAATCAAGATGCGGATTCCACAATAGTCAACAGATCCACAAACGCCTTGGGGAAATACCGGCCTTCGGCTCGGCATAGAATTGGAGCAGGCTCCCGGGCCATCCTCATGTTGTTGCTCGCGTAGGTATTCTGACGGGTGCTCAACGGCATACGCCGACGATGGGCACATCGCATCTATTCCATTCGTCACTCGGCTGATGAACTGCTTCCTATGTGCGTTTTACAGTCACGACCGGGGTTTACCTCTGCAGGCTCTGCAAGATCTGCAGGATCTGCATCTAATTGCAACGCTGCGGATGTCATGTCGTTTCTCTTCCATGGAAGAGTCAATTCCAAATCCGTAGCGCCCTGTGCTGTTAATCGCCGGCCTACTTCATAGGACACGGCAAGGGTCAGGTAATATCATGTGGTCTACGTGAATCTTAGTCTACAGTTATACTTATGAGCATGGCATGACAAGTCTATTACAAACTTGCGCGAGGATACACACACAAATACGCCTGCGGTGTGGAATTATGCAGTGTGAAGAAAGGTCAGAGGAACCCGAACATATCTATTTATGGCGAATGACGCGAATGGGGAGGAGCTGGTGCAGAATGGGATGACAGAAACGCCAGCTGCCCGATACGGTGCCAAGACATGACGCCTCTCAAGGTAACTGGTAGGTCTTGATTGGCCCTGCTGCGTGTCGTCAGAGAAGGAAGCTCCTTGCAAATGAGATATATTCATTAAGAGAAGGTGTTACCGTGTTATGGGCCTTTAGAGCCCCTCAACACACCCCAGTTCCGAGCCGGACATATCTCCGGATAGCCAGCAGCGCTCCCTTGTACTCGGGAAGGGCACTTTTCAAGGATTTTTTTTCTTCGTCCAAACCTTGAGTTTTTTTTTTATTTTTTTTTTTTATTTTGGTACTTCTTCCGCATACGCCAGAAATGTCATCATAGCTGGAGATCAGGAAACCAGATTATTGGACGGCCAGACTCCTCACGAGCAGATGATGGAGCGTGGTAGGATGACCTCGGGATTCGCTCCGGTGGGTGTTTCTGCCTCTACGGACAAACTTAGGTCCAGGCACAGCACAAGTTCCGAGAGACGAGTGTTTGCTTCCCTTCGTCGCACAAAGCGACCTGAAAAGCGCCCCGTGTCTGATCTTCCCGCACTTACTTTCGCCTCGCCGACAAGTGCCGAATCGTCTCTTCACTCTGTGGCGGCAGAGGTGCCTGGAGCTGTCCGTCTCATTTCTACCGAGAAGGCAGGACAAAAAACAATCAGGCAGCTTGTTCTTGCCTTAATGCAACCTGAAGTATCCGTACCATCCCAGCATATTGAGCCAGCCGCCTGCGACCGGACATCAGGCCCATATGGACGAGCCTCAAATCCTGAAGTCTCACGCTGTATAACTGCATGAGAGACTTTTGTGGCGGGCTGCGCTGCAACCCACCCTATCCACGAACCACCCCATGTCAACAGCACGACCTCGCTTGGGGACTGAGATGATTTGTATTACAGAGGCTGCTGGTGGTGTTTCTTCCCGGGTGATCAGCGAGGCACGGCCCCACACGAGGCCCGCCCGATGACGAGGATGGTCGGCATTTTCGAACCTCACTCAACCTCAACCTCACGCACAACTCTTTACCTCTTTTCCTCTTCCATCCCAGCGCCGGGGGTGGTTCTACATCCGGATGAAGGGCTTTCGATCCCATTCGCCTGCCTCTAATCCTCATGAAATCAGGAAGAAATGCACGTAGCCCTTTTCCATCACAACCAAGTTCTTTTCCAGACTGCAGGAAAAAGACATTGTTTCGACAAGGGTATCCGGAGCTACTGTAGGTTGTTCATCTCAATAACAACCCCGGTCTATCAATTCAAATTGACCTGCCCTCCTCAGCCGTCGTCATAGATGGGATGAAGTGGTGGACTGGCAAACAGTGACTCTTTCCCGCCGTGGGGCATTCTTTTTGTCACGCTCTTCTATCCGTAGTCCAGTGGCTTACTCCCTCCCTGAATCCGAAATACCGCAATCCTTGGAGCTATTTTCGACATTCGACACCGCCAATCACTCGGCTGTCTCCACTCCAACGTCGCACAAGAATGACCACAGCACACCGTGGTTACCTGCGGGCTTTTGCGTTTCCATTGCACAGGGCTACAGAGCCCAGAGGGCCATGGAGAGCTGACCAACCCTTTAATGTAGATCGGGCTTGTACAGATTTACTCAGTGGCTTTTCGATCTTCGGCAGCCACATCTACATTCCGCCGGGGTTTCTTTCACTAGTGTATTGGAGCTCGCCGCCGCCCCCAACTACCGTGTCGCTCCTCGCCAACCACGTTTGTTCCCATGGCCGCTTGCGCGCCATCGAGCTTTGGCCCTTTTCAATCACCCTAGCCCATGTCGTCTAGATGTAACCTTGTTTTGCAAGGTGTCAGCACGTTGGTATAAGAAAGAAAAGAAGGCAAGGGAGCAGGCATTCTAACCGGAGGGAACGGCGCTCGACGGCTAAGCTTTTGTCCCTTTTCTCCTTCTCTGGTGGCTATATTTCCAGTGAATACTGCTCACCCCCACTGTCAGAGAAGAAGAAAAGCATCGTTTGAAAGAGAGGAAATGCCTGCGGGAGAGCGTTCCCAATTGTCTTAGCCAGCACCGTGGCTGGCTCATGCTGCCCAGTGGCACCGTCGACGTTTTGTCGGCCTCGGCCGTGAGACACAAATGCAGCCAAGGCAAGCTACCAGCACACAGCATCAGAGCTCCCGGGACCGTGGGCGCTTCCCTATTGAATCACACGAGGTGCTTTCCAGTATGACAACATTGGATGCCCCTCCTTTTCTTTCTCTCTCCCCTCAGGCCCCTCTCTTTTTCAAAATGTGGAGAAGCACCTGAGATGATTAAGGTATGATGCTATCACTCCTTATGCTCCCGGCACACCCATTTGGAAGGAGGCGGCGCGGTGTGCTTACCTCCTGGTGATGTGGATGTGGAATTATTCTGGGCAAGCCCGTACTACCTTAGTGTCCTTTCCCGGCCTGGCGAAGATGTCCTCCTTCCAAGTTCATCGAGCTCACTGCCCCCCCTTGCGGCTGGTGTTGTTTAGTAGGAGACCTAGGTAGTTCAGAGACAAAGCTCCGCCTGTCAACCCAAAGGTCTGGAGCTCATAAGTAGCCTTCCGTCCCTCGGCAATGTTGACTTATCCAACGGCTGTCACTTTCTTTACGCTCGAGACCAAGAAGTGCTTGTCTAGCCTACTCAATCTTTTACTATCGACCGAAGGGAAGACTTATGTAGGTGCAAGGGCATTCTTCTGACCGCCAACTCAACATGCATACCACCCTCCTGCTGGCCGGTCTCGGCCTGGCTGCCCTCTCTTCAGCTGGCTGTCCCTTCGCAGATCCATCAAACATCAAGGCTCGAACCGAAAGCGACGGCTCTCGCGGCCATGTGTCAGGCTACGAGGTAGACGACTCTACAGGCGATCCGTACCTCACATCCGACGTCGGCGGCCCTATCGAGGACCAAGTAAGCTTGAAGGCCGGCGTCCGTGGCTCGACGTTGCTCGAGGATTTTATCTTTCGCCAAAAGATTACCCACTTCGACCACGAGAGAGTAAGCCCATGATTGTCCGTCTCAGCTGGACACTCCCGACTAAGTGACCCATCCACAGGTACCGGAACGAGCCGTCCACGCCCGCGGTGCCGGTGCCTACGGAACCTTTACAAGCTATGGCGACTATAGCAACCTCACGGCCGCTTCATTCCTGGGCGCAGCGGGAAAGCAAACCTCCACGTTTGTGCGGTTTTCCACTGTTGCTGGATCAAGAGGAAGTGCGGACACTGCCAGAGATGTGCATGGTTTTGCCACCCGATTCTTCACTGATGAGGGCAACTTTGATATCGTGGGAAACAACATTCCAGTGTTTTTCATTCAAGACGCCATTCAGGTAAGTCATTTACACCCTTCCGAGTCTCCAGTACGGACTTTATCTGCCAATGCTTAATGCCACCACCAACACTGTGAGCTGACTTTCTGCAGTTCCCAGACTTAATTCACGCAGTGTAAGACTTGCTCCAGGCCATTTCATACACATCGGCGCCCAAATACTGACGTTATGGCCCATACAGAAAACCTCGCGGTGACAATGAGATCCCACAAGCTGCTACAGCTCATGATTCTGCATGGGACTTCTTCAGCTCTCAAACTACCACCCTTCACACCTTGTTCTGGGCAATGGCTGGATACGGTATCCCGAGAAGTTATAGACACATGGTGAGCAGAACGAGAGCTTCATAGCTGCCAAAATCTAACCAACACTCCTAGGATGGCTTTGGTGTGCACACCTTCCGCGCCGTCACGGACGACGGCAATTCTAAGCTTATCAAGTGGCACTGGAAGACGAAACAGGGCAAGGCCAGCTTGGTCTGGGAAGAAGCCCAGATCGTTTCGGGCAAGAATGCCGACTACCACCGCCAGGACCTCTGGGATGCGATTGAATCTGGAAATGGACCCGAATGGGAACTCTCCGTTCAGGTCCTCGATGAGGAGGATACTCTCAAGTTTGGATTCGACCTGTTGGACCCGACAAAGATCATCCCCGAGGAGATTGCACCCCTCCAAAAACTCGGCAAGATGAAGTTGGATGCCAACCCGGTCAACTACTTTGCCGAGACTGAACAGATTATGGTGTGTTCTACAACCATACTTCGTCTCTGAGCATGGCTAATTCATCGCAGTTCCAACCCGGGCATATTGTTAGAGGCATAGACTTCACTGAAGACCCTCTGCTGCAGGGCCGCATCTTTTCTTACCTGGACACTCAGATCAACCGTCACGGCGGGCCCAACTTCGAACAGCTGCCGATCAACCGCCCAACCACGCCCATTCACAACAACAACCGAGACGGTGCTGGCCAGAACTTCATCCACCGAAACCGCAACTCCTGTGGGTCATTTCTTCATTCTCGTCGACTTACCCGACTGACCGAATAATCAGACACTCCGAATACACTCAACGAGGGCTTCCCTAAGCAAGCGAACCAAACTCAGGGCAACGGCTTCTTCACGGCGCCTGGCCGCACTAACAATGGCCAACTGGTCCGCGAGATCTCTGACAGCTTTTCAGATCACTGGTCTCAGCCGCGCCTCTTCTACAACTCCTTGACCCCCATCGAGCAGCAATTTCTAATCAACGCCATCCGCTTTGAAACCAGCCACCTCGAATCCACCGAGGTTAAGCAGAACGTTCTCACACAGCTGAACAAGATCAGCAACGACATTGCGAACCGTGTCGCCGATGCCCTAGGCATGAACCGTCTGCAGCCCGATGCGCAGTACTACCACAACAAGACTACTCAGGGGCTCTCAATCTTTGGCAACAAGCTGCCCTCCATCGCGACCCTGAAGGTCGGTATCCTTGCAAGCCTGTCAGCTGACGGCTCCGTGAGCCAAGGCAAGGAGTTTAGGGATGCTTTTGCCACTGACGGTGTTTTGGTGACCGTCATCGCCGAGAGGCTGGCTGACGGCGTCGATATGACATACTCACAAGCTGACGCCACGTCATTCGACGGTGTCATTGTTGCCCGCGGCGCTGATGGTCTGTTCAATGGCAACATTAAGCCGTCTCCTTTGTATCCGGCCGGTAGACCTGCACAGCTTGTCATCGACTCCTACAGATGGGGAAAGCCGGTGGGCAGCATTGGCGCGGCTCTCGACGAGTCGGCAGCCCTCGGTGTCAAGGCCGGTGAGGGCGTGTACTCCGCCGCAGACGTAATCACCGTCGTGAACAGCTTCAAGGATGGTCTGTCGACATTTAGATTCACTGACCGTTTCGCAACGGACTAGGACTGCGCTGCGTAAGCGAGATGTGTTTCTCTTCGTGTCCATAGTTGATGTCCACTTGTCCACCAAGGCTACGGCAAAGTAAGGCTTCTTAGATATCAATGTGACGTACTACTACATCACATACGTGGTGTTGGATCCTTCAGAGTGACTGCCGCGCGTCATTACTGTTTGTTTAATGACCATTACTGTAAGCAATACTGCGGCGACACTGGACATTCCTAACGCAACCAGCCAGCCAGCCGAGGGCAATCGGCATTGACTGCGCTGACCTTATTTGTCACTGAACCTTCTATTTTATATGTCCCAGCTTGGCCAAGCCGTTTGGCATTCGCGGTGCGACGGCATCCTGGACGATGGCGACGAAGCTATCACTGCAACCTTCTGAGCCTTTTCGGAATATAGGCTCGCTGCCGCTCGCGCGTAATTATGGTCACCCCAACGTAATTGATAATTTCAGTTAGTAGGGTGCTAAAAGTCGATTATAGGTGGGCGTCAAATGGGTTTTTGTAATTGAGGGAAGAGAAACGTTGTTCAAGTGACACTGTAGCAGGAAACAATATGCTTTGCTCGTCATGCATTATCATTATTCGTAATGTAGTGGTACAGGTGTACTAGGTAATACAGGGTATCTCTGCGACTCATCCTGGAAGCGTCCCCTTCGGACCACCATTTTTTTTTTTTTCGCCGCTGTCGTTCCATCACCCCCTCCCCCTTGTGAATCACATCATACAGACATGATCAAACCCAGTCCGCAGCCTTCTTGGCTCATCGAGGCCTTGAACTCGCTCGCGCGCCTCCAGTGCTCGCGATCGATACGTTCCTCCTCCTTGCGCATCTTGAAGTCGAGCAGGCCGTCGTCGCCCTTGCGCTGGCGTACCATTTCGGCCTCGACCTTCTTAAAAGTCTGCCAGTCGTCCATCTGAGACGGATGAGGCACCTGTTGCACCTCCCCTAGACTCTTTTGGCCGTCGACGCGTTCCAGGAGAAGCTCGAGGCGGTACTTGTCGGTGGTGGCGTCGAGTTTGTTGCCGTACTGGCGGATTGTGTAACTAAAAATGTCATGGTCAGTTTATCTCATTTCTTTGGAGTCTTGGGTACTGAAGAGGGTAAGCCTGGAAAACTTACAGGCCATCATAGCGCACGCCGGCTTGGGGAGCAAGCGTGCTCTTGAGGCGGTAGCCCCTCAGGATGCGGATCTGAGTCCCGACTTGGGTGAGGAGAGAAACGTGCATGTCGGAGAGCCGGCCCTCGCGGACGTATCGGTAAAGGTGGCCGCGGATATGCTCCTCGCGTCCGGTAAGGAGGGGCAGGGCGGTGACTCCGTATTTACCCTTGGTGGGCTTCTCGACCGCGGTGCCAATGACGCCGTCACGGTGCGCGCAAGCGAGGTTCAACCACCAGCTTTGAAAAAAAAAAATTAGCATACTACCAATGAAAGATTCATTAGTCGGTGAACTTACTGTCCAGGCTCAAACTGCTGGTTCCCCTCTACTTCCGAGATGGGGTCGCAGCAGCTGTTGTTGACGGCCCAAGACTCGAGAGGGTCCATGCCAGAAGCGGTGAAGTGGATGTCGCGCATCTCGCCGCCGATCGACAGGGTGCGCTGGCGCACTTGATCGAGAGAAAAGTAGTGCTCGCGGAAGCGGGCTCTCCAAATTTTCTGCAGGCTCTCGCATAGAGCCATGTCGGCGCGGAAGCGGAGCGGCAGCGGGAGGGGCCGGTGGGCGGGGTCGAGGACGTCGGCGAGCAGCTTGTCTAGGCGAGCGTACTGGAGCGTCTCAAAGTCGAGGAATTGAGTGTGGTGCAGCTCGTCCTTGAGAGCTCTCTCCAGGAGGCTCTGGATTCTATCTGCGTGGGGCCCGAGGCTCTTTGACTGGCGAAGTGACGTCCGTACCGAGTCACAGAGCTCGAGGAGTTCCTCTTTGGTGGGCAGCGGCTCGATGGGAGGGGAGGGAAGATCACCTGGATGGTGTTAGACACTGGTGAACGTCGCTCGGTGGCCTGGTAATGCTGACCTGCTCCGGGGTATCTCATAAAGTACGTTTCTGTAGTTCCGTCCATCTGGAATGGTGAACGGCAAGGCCTAGTCATGATTTGGGTGGGCGACATGATGCTCGAATTGAGAGAATCAATGCCTCAAGTGAGAGAAGTCGCTCCGTGGTCCTTTGTAGGAGTGGAAAGTGGCATCTACACGTTGTAGGGGCGCCGATTTGTTTCGCTGATGTCTCCGGGACTAGTGGCTGGGGTTGATCGTTCGTGCGCAGGGCGTGTTCTCTCAAGATCGAGCGTATCTTGCAAATGAAACTTCCAAGACGGAGGGAAACGAACAGCGGCTTATATGAAGATGAGGAGACGAGGACGATGGCTTGAAGAGGAGAGTGGTATTCAGGCTAGCCAAGGCGTGCACCCGTGAACCCGCGGAGTCCACGGGTGTGTGAGATGGCCGGAATCAGACGCGGCGTGGGGTTCACTTGTAAGACACAACGTGCAAAAGGGGAAAGTTCCGTCCGTTGGAACCATTCAACTGGGAAGAGTGAAGCGTCCGGGGAGGAAGGACGATGGGTTCATTATGCCTCTCAGGTGATGGTGGCGTGCGCTACCGAGGGTTTGGTTTGGGTCGGCGATCGCAGACGCTGGACTTTGGTACTCCAACCGAGAGCGAGCAGGGATTTCCAAAGGACTAGCTGCTAGGGGCCGCCAAGCCGGGTGATCGGTGGCAGAGGTACCTATCTGTCAGCTCATCTGCTTGGTAGGTACGAGCCAGTCTAGCAGAAGAAGAATTAGCATCATGCGGAAGGCGCTTTGGAGGCTGGAGACGTACCAGACTTGTGGCAATGGGTGGATGACCGCCGCAGAGGTAAGGTACTAAAGCAGAGGGGGAGGATGGTAGGAGAGAATTGTGGCAACGGGGTCGGGCAAGGACAAGGTCCGTCAGCCAATGACTTCTCGACGTGGGCGTGAAATCTCTTTAGTGATTATACCATCTCCGGTGATGATGCGAGACATCCTGTTACAGATCAAATCCGTCGACCGTGTGAATGGCATGGCGCCGACTGTCCCAAGCTGTCGGCGCCTCGCTGAGCCATGTGGCATCCGTCCGGATATGTCGTAGTCGCTTCCGGTCGGCGCTCCTTTCGGCAGCAGTATACCTTTTCCGGCGCTCATTCGGAGCATGTTTGATCCCCGATGCCCTAGCGTCCAGCTCAGGTCTTTGACAACTCAGGCCCAAGGTTTAGGTAGTCCCGAATCCGACTTCAAGCCGCTTCTCCCAGCTTCGTCGGTGGTGCAACGTTTTGGTTCGAGGCCTGTGGATTCTCTGCAACACTCTCCATTAGTGGCGGCCTCCACATCGCACTTCTAGATTCGCCAACTTCAGGGCTGGACACCCATTCAACCGGTCTCATCAATTCCATCCGGAGACTCGGAATTGTGGCGTGCCCTTACTCAGGTCGGCCAAACGCTTTAATGGTCCAATAGCTGTCATCACACCCGAACCGGGCAAGGCATAATACGGAGGCATCCTCGGCCTGCTTTTGCCCGTCACCCGCCGCCATTCCTTGACTGGCGGAAGTCTCAACGTCAATATGTCTCAACTTGAGACGTAGCGCTGAGTAAAAGTTCTGAAACCAGGATTTCGATCTGTTGGGACGCTGCTTCAACTGCTCCGAGGCCCACGAGCCAGGCACTTTGCGGTAGGGGAGGTCCACCCTGACCTGAAAGACGACAGTGATAGTCTCAAGGAGTTCGCTGAGAGAAAGACGTAGGTGGATTCAATGTTGACGTCGACGGGCGCAAGGCATCAAATGAACGCCCCCTCAGGTAGGCTGATGAAGAGGCACTATCAGCACATGAGCTGCCCCAAGACTCCTGCTCTCGTTAGAGCCATAGGGAGTGGCGGAATGATTGAAAACCTCAAGGTAGTCCACGTGGAGCCGCGCCCTGGTTATCAGTGCTTCAAACCCAGCGAACATAGCCTCTCCGAGGCTAATCAGTGGCCTGGCACTGGCCAAGATACCCGACAAAATTAGGTGAATCAGAGATGGCCTGCAAGTGGCTTGTTCTTCGCTTCAATTGAAAATATGATTCTCCAAGACGGTTCGAGTTAGCCGAGTCCTCAAAAGCGCTCGGCTCGGATAATGCGCACTGAATAATTTCGGTTAGGCCTTGGAGGGTGGACTCGTGGAAGCCAACAAAGACTATGAAGTTGTTCAGCATGCAGACACTACAAGTCAGATTCATGCGGATCTTGTCAAGCAGTCAAAGTCGGATCTTGCGCTCAGGATTGACTAAAGACCGCATTGTGCCTGTGCCTGTGTTCGGTGACTTGTTCTTCTTGATCATTTGGTCTTCCTCCAGTCCTAGACATAGGCATCTCGATACGTATCGAGTACCGGCTTTGCGCGCCTCTTGGTCCTGTAGCGAAGTGCGAGGCAGAGATGCAACGTGCTAGGAGCGAGAGTGTTGAACAAGCGAGGAGAATGAGAAGTGGTAAATTAGAGGTCGACTTTTCCGCCCACGTCGAATCCTTGCGGAACGGTTGAGAATGCCATGTGGTGTCAAGATCCGAATGGCCGCCAAGCAACGGCGGACAAGATTGACATTTGTGTGTACGGACGTAACTCAAGCAAGCCACGCTAGCGAACCGTTTGTCGTCTCCATGGCCAATTCGACCCAGGAACATGGAAGAACAGTGTGATATTTACAATGACGGAAAGAGACTAGAATCAAGTATGTCGATCCAGAAAGCTGGAAGTGGGTTACCTCTTCATAATGTGGTTGGTTGAAAAACGAAGACAGTCGGGCATTCTGAGAAGAGACACCTGCGGGCGCACTATCCCTTTGACTGTCGTTACTGAGGTAGGCGATGGGGTTGCTTCTGTCTCACTTTTCATATTGGGTTTATTGGCGAGATGCATTGTTGGTTTCCTTCTGAATAAGGAACTTGAGGCTGAAACGAATACAAACGGGAAACGAAAACGTCGAGAGCGGCAACAAGAGAACCCAACGGAGGAGAGATGACATACCCAGAGCCTTGAGGTATGGAAGGTGACGATGTGTGATTGGAGTTTGGCAGAATGAAAGTTGGAGTACGGACGTAAAGCGCGTCCCCACTTTCCCCGACGCCCACTCAGCTCCACGCGACCCGACAGAGAAGCTTGGCTGCAGCCTGCAGGCCACATGCAAAACTTCAACTTGTCACCTCCATCCTCCGACAGGATCCCATAGTCCATCCACGTCACGACCCAGAACAATTCGCCGAAAATGGACAACAACAAAGACCTTCTCGCCAAAGCGAAGGAGTACTCGGCCAACAACGTGGACCTCTACGACTTGCTGCAGATCGAGAGCACCGTCACCGAGGAGAAGGACGTCCGCCGCGCGTGGCGCAAACAGTCGCTCAACTACCACCCGGACAAGCTCAAGGAAGCCTTTGACCCAGAAAAATGGGAGCTCATCGAGACGGCGCGCGACATACTGCTCGACGCCGCCGCCCGCGCCGCCTACGACAACGCCCGCAAGGCTGTCCTCCTGCGCAAGGCCGAACGCGACCGCGTCCAGGGTCAGCGCAAGCGGCTTATTGACGAGCTTGAGGCCGCGGAGCAAGAGGGGAAGAGACAAAAGCTCGCAGAGCAGGAGAAGGCCCGCGAGCTGGAGCGGGAGAGGGCGCGGCTCGCCGAAGAGGGACGCCGGCGCATGGCGGAGGAGTCGGAGAGGTTCAAGCGTGAGAACCTGGAGCGGCTAGAGAGGGAGAGGGAGCCCGATGAATACGACGAAAAGTTGGCCGAGTTGCAACAACGGCTAGATGAGAAGAGGCGACAAAAGGCGGAGAAGAAGGCAAAGAAGAAGGGCGGCGCGGCGGGTGATGCTGTCGACGTTGCCACTCCTGCGGCAGCAAACGCACCAGAATTAGCACCAAAAGCGACTCCAGCAGCAGCGCCCCCCAAATGGGAGGACCTCAAGGCACGGATGATCGCGGCCCAGAGGCTTAAAGAAGCAAGAAAGGCTGCTGAAGCTGGGCAAGCGACCGAGGAAGAGGTCAAGCAAAAATACGAGACATTTCGGGCTCTCGACCCGAGGTAAAAGGACTAGACACGCTCAGGGTGGACATGGCGTGCTTTGGTGGAGGTTGGAGGAGGTGATGGCGGACGAGGCCGCAACGAAATAACTGCGCGATGATACCCCTTTTTCTATTGTACAATACGAGCGGCACTGACTTTTCAGTTACCAGATGCCTCGTTCAACCCATTCCTCAGCCATTCGGGCACGAAGGCCTTGATCTTCACTGCGTTGTTCTGCTCACCATCCCCCTCGCCCTCGCCCCATTTTAGCAAGAATTCATTGGCGGGGTCAAAGGTGGAAGCGGCTGTCTCGCCAGGCAAGACGATGTCGGTCATGATCTCCAGACGGCACAGCCCTAGGCCAACATTCCCGATGCCCTTGAGCCACTTTCCTGCACTCCTCCCTTTCTTGCCAGCCCTTCCGATGCTCGTCTCTCGCGGAATCGATTCTGCGGGCAGACCCTCGGGGCCATGATTCGCATCTTCCTCTGGGCGGTACTGCAGCGTCTGGGGGATGGCTCTGTCCACGCCGTAAATCATGCATGGCAGGACCCGCTTGCGCACCACGCCGCGATGCTTCGTCCGGATCGTGAGCTCCTGTCCCACGTAGCAACCCTTGTGATAGTCGATTCCATTCATATAATCCATGTTCGTCTCCTGCGGCAGCGCGTGCTCTCGAATGACCTCGTCCTGGCCCTCGGCAACGCCCTGCAGATATCGCCTGATGGTGTAGCTGTCCTCTGTGGTCACGTCCAGATCCAACGCCGGCGGCGTGTCCCTGCCCTGCACCACGCGGTAGCCCAGACCTGGTGTCCTCGGATCCTTGGTGATGGTGCTCAGCAACGCGGGATCCGTCGTAATCGGCTTCGAGCTATCGTCCCAAGCATGCCATACCGTCGCCTCGTCTACCGCAAGCAGCCGGACGGTGAGCTTTGCCCTCAGTTTGTACCGCTTGATGTGCTTCGCGAGCCTCTCGGCCTCGTTCGCGTCGACCTCGATGAGGAACCGCGCCCCGGCCTGCTCCGACTCCGCCGCAACGCCGCCGCCGAGGCCCGCGACGTCGGGGTATATAAAGACGTCGTGCAGCACGCGGCCCGTGGCGTTGAGGAACGCGGCGTAGAAGCCCGTCTGTCGCGCGCGGGCTGCCTCGGAGGCGATGTTGCCCGTTATGACGCCCTGCAGGAACTTTGCGGCGTCGGCGCCGGCTACGGAGATGAGGCGTCGGGAGGGGAGGGCCGCGTAGCCGGCTGTGGGGGGCGCGGGCGGCGGACGGGTGGTGTTGCTACTCGAATATTGTCGGCGTTGGTGCTGCTGTTGGCGGCAGGTGCGGCAGACGAAGGTTGCTGCGGATAGCTGCTTGCGCGCTGCAAGCGTCGCGTTGTGGGTGACGGTGTTCATTGCCGAGCTCGAGTGCTCCGTTCGAGGGAAAGTTGTAGAAAAGAAAAGTCGTCGGTCTAAGAAGAGATGGAAATTGAAAAAGATGTTTGACGCGGTCGGCGACCGAGCTAGTTGTGCGGTATTCTAACACGCCCGCGATGGGGGTCTGCTAATTGCTATTGGAATACGGATTTGGGAAGGAAAATTGTTGCTCGTTTGTCATGACGTCCTAGCTCCGGTGCGCACGGGACTCTCGGCCCGGGGTTAAGTGGCACAAGCCTAATGTGAGGGACGCAGAGTCGACGGCCTTGCTCCGATTCTTGCCCCACTGACGGAAGGGACACTGAGGTGGCACGCTGGACAGTGGAGACTGGAGAGGTTCGGCTCATCATTTCATGGGTTTCCCTCCACGTGTGGCCTGTGCTTTCTTAAGCTAAAGTGCTGCCTAGAGACGATGAGCTCGAATGGTTAAGCTTTCTACAATATGCATCCTCCGACCATGACCTTGACATTCGTACTCCCTACGACTACGGATACCTGGGCGGAAGTGAGGAGACATGAGGACGCGCAGCTGCAGTGCTTCACTGGTTGCCTGGACGCACTAAGTCGATGCGGAATACGATTTGAGAGCGCTTATCCGTAGATAAAGCATGCTTTTCCCAGTGTTGATATCCGCAGTCACTTGGCAATACTGACCATTGCTTGAAGATACGATTCCTCTATCGGCTCAAGTTGCATGAGGTTCATGAGATCCATCTGATGATGGCGCTTCAAAATCATACTAGCTGATTGACTCGACGGGTTTGGCGTTTTCACAAATCTCGAGCCACCACTCGACGTTCTCGAACGCTCTTCTCTCAGCATAATCACTGCTGGCCAACCGATAGCATGACGCGAATACCTAACAATGTCAAGCAGAAGCATGCGGCAGTGAGGCACGGGCGCAGCACGCAGGCGGCGGCAGAGGCGTGCGCTCCTCATGGCAGGGCTGAAGGCGTCGGCTGCGGGATTGTGGTCCCGGGAGCTCCCAAATTTCCATGAATATCGACCCCCAGCAGGCATACGATGAACACCCGCCAATGGCAGCCACGTTGCTAGCGGTCCCGGTAAGCGCTAATGCTCGACGCGCCCCGTGGCAGTGAGGTGCCAAGACGAGTGTCGCACCTGTTCGCGCCAAATCAGCCAATTTCCCCCTCCCGAAACCCCCATACAATATAAATCGGTGTCGCAGATCAGTACCCCAGGGGTCGCCACTCGAGATTGACTGGAGGATCAGGGGTACGAAGGTATTTATCGTTGGACTGGTGGGCTCGATCCCGTCACCTCGAGCGGATCCCCGAATCCTACGAATATCAGCAGTCTGACCAATGCTACCCTCCCTTGTCTACAGAAAGGATGAAGACATTGGACATGTTTTTCTCGCGCTCCTTCCCGCTCGCGCCACACTTTCCTCTCCAACCCTCTTTCTCTCGATCTCGTCCATCCCGTGATCGTCACTTGGAATGAGTTGATCTCGCGTCTGAAGGATACTCTCTCGTTTGCGGTACGGTACCCCTCGGGGCGGCGACCTTCATCACACATCATATTCGGTACATCGACCCGGTTCGTTGTAGGTTGAGCAGCGGCGATTCGATCACGGGACAACACCGAAGATCATCCCGAGATTCGCCATCATGGTGTCGCGGTCATGGTTGGCGACGGTTCTCGCCGTCGGGCAGCTCTCTTCCATCTGTAACGCGCAAGTAGATGTGCCCTCAATCAACAACTTTCGCAGAAGAGTCTTCGCTCGAGGTAAGCATTGGCCTGTGTCTCTCCGATGACACGAGGTGAGGGCGTCACTAACGATGCTTAGCCTCCGTCATTGGTCATTGGGTGTATTACGATGGAGGTGAAGTATCACAGGTCGTCGATGGAACGAGTCCCCTGTCACAATGGCGGCCCTCAAACCCAACCAACACCACTCTCTCCATCGACCTTACCAAATCGTGGACGGCAGAGGATGTGGAGGTCAAGGAGACCTCAAAGTCTGCCCCAAAGATGATGAGACAGGCAATTTTCACGGACAACTCTTCAGCCTCGTTCTATATCTGGGGAGGCTTCACCTCATACGGCGCCAAGCTCCCAGCCGCGAAACTCTGGCACTTTACCACCGATGGTAGCGGTGGCGGCCAATGGGGCACCGTGCTCCCCCACGGCAACGACGTTTTTACCGCACTCACCCGCTCACAAGGCGGCGCCTTCGTCAGCACAAAAGACTCGGGTTTCTACTTTGGCGGTTTCTCGGATGGGGGCTCCGATCCCCACCCAAACGGTCCCGTGCCGGGTTTCTTGCAGTTCAACTACTCGGCGACAGACACGGCGTGGACAAACAATACCGCCAGTGTCCCGTACTCCGACTACGGCACCTTGGTAGGAGCCACGGCCCACTACGCGCCTTTTGGACCGAATGGTCTGATCATGATCTTTGGCGGAGGATCGCAGGTCATTGGGAACGGCCAGAGCGTGGATAACGTGGGCTATCTCAGCTTCAGCAAAATCTTTTTCATGGACCCCGTTACCAAGGAGTGGTACAGCCAACAGACCAGCGGGAACGCTCCCGGTCCGCGCATGTGGCACTGCACCGTTGGAGTTCAGGGTCCCAACAACACATATGAGATGTAGGTTCATGATAACTCCACCAGAAGGAGCTTTTCCTCGGGCAATTTTAATCGATTTCCAGCTTCATGCACGGTGGCAGCAACATCGCCAACAAGGAAACATTTGACGAGGTCTACATCCTCTCGCTTCCCGGTTTCGTATGGCAAAAGGCAAACTACACGTCACGCGCCCCCCGAGACACTCACTCATGCGTTGTCGCCGGTCAACGTCAGATGATCACCTTTGGAGGCGTCAACAGGATGGCAGCCAACGGGAACTCGACAATCTTCTTCAACGAAGAGGACCCCTTCCGCCAGGGCGTGGGCGTGTTCGATCTCACGGCGTTAGCATGGAAAGATCAGTATGAACCCACTGCCGCCACATACGATTCTCCGGATGCCGTCAAGGCGTGGTACAATGAGGGGTAGGTTTAGCCACGGTCACAATGATGTACCTAGTGTAAAGTCACTGACTGTGAGCAGTAATCTCGCCAACGTCCAATACTCCTCAGGCGTCGAGGCGCTCATCAACTACGGCAAATCCGGATCGGGCTCGAGCCCAGGTTCAGGCTCCGGCTCCAAATCTTCCAACACGGGTGCAATCGCCGGCGGCGTCGTAGGAGGGGTAGCGGGAGTCGCCCTCATCGTCCTGGCCGCGTTTTTCCTCATGAGGCGGCGGAAGCACAGGAAGGTTCCAACTGAGGAATTCGGCGGCGGACACAACGTGGTCGAAGCGCCAGGAACGGACTACTACAATAACGGCGGCATGCAGCAAACGGCCTACTCACCGGGTCCCGCCCCGTCGACGACAGCGCCGCCGTCCGAGCTCCAGGGGGAGCACAGGGACCACTCGCCGTTCTCGGCCGGCGATATGCCACTCAAGATGATGCAGCCACCCGAGATGGACGCGCGGGAGCCGCGGCACTTTTACGCGGCGGAGCTGGACGGGACAGAAGCGCGGAAGTGAGTGACCCTAAGGACAAGATTTGCTTGTTTGGTCCGGTTTGGAAAACACCTCCAACAGGACAGATGGAATCCATGATGAGATGTGAAATATTCTAGGTCAGGTAATGTTTCCATAAAATGGAGAGTGCACAGTACACTATATCATACCCGAGAGCGTATTCGTTCTTGAGTTCCGCATAGTCTTTTCACTGGCCTCAGCTAGGGGCAACACACCCTGTGGCTACTCAAGCTTGCGTGGACTTGTAGAGACTCTCGGTAAAACAACATCCGAGAGGGCAGAGACTGAGAATGAGTTGAGACGCCACTTTCAGCTCAGAAGAAGCCGGCGTAGCTTTTCGTGAATCCTTATTAGAGACTTTGACCATGAGACTATCTCAGCAAGATGCAACGTGTGGGTAAGTAGGCACAGGGGTAGGCAAGTGCGGCGCCGGGAAATAAGACTCGAAGAATTTCTTCTTCCTCACACTTTGAGACAGATCATGCCCTTGCATCCCTCAGGTTCAGCTGTCAGGCCGCTTCTAGTCTGGGAACGGAGCGCAGGCTACCTATGCCAAGGGCACAAGCTGTGATGTCTTCAAGGGGTTCATGTGCCGCATCTCTCATCGGTGTGAATGAATGGTTAACGGTCTCCTCATTTCTGTTTGATACCGCACCAACAGCCGGACCTTCATATCACTATATAGCTCTCATCTCGCAATTTTCTTTTTCCATTAGAATTCTCACCATTACCAATGAAGCCAGCCACAGCCCGACTGGAGGGAGCAAGGTGCCACTGAGTGGCCAGCCTACGCGGACCGGCGCCACGAGCAGCAACAGCCGCACCTTTAAGACCGGAACCCAAAAGGATGATGCAACCACATCTACCGTCGTTGAAGAGGTTCCGGTCGACGATTTCGCAGCTGCGGCCAGCAGCAAGCTGCCGCCGTCCTTCGACATCCCGGGCAACTGGATGAGGGAACCGCTCGGTCTCGGTCAGCTCAAGCCTCCCACGGCTCGCGAGACTCTGATTACAGCATCACCCAGTACGACCTGGAACTGGTGTCGGGTGGCTATGGCAGGCTCCGCTTCATTTGCACCGATGGATACAGTTTCTGGTTCATCGATAGGACTGGGGACAGGTACGGGGTCAGTGTTGACCTTCCCGGTGCTCCGGTGCATGAACTCGTGTACCGCTCCACCTACCGTACTATTGTTGGGCCAGTTCATGCGGGGCCGGCAGCTTGTCTAATCTGCCAGATGGCATGATAATGATAACAACGTGGTGTTTGTAGCACCACTCGGGCGGAGGTTTTCAATTCTAAATACATAATCTTTCGAGTCGATCTTTCCTCTCAGGAAATCTTTTGTGTGATTCGATCCAGCGGTCCCCAAGTCAAGACCATGTTGGCATAGGACCACCTCCACTTGTGTAACCTGTTTCGAGAGACGGTGATGGGGAGCTCGGAACATAAAAGAGGTGCCCTCACCTTGTAGACGACATGGTTTTGCCGTGAAAACTCAGACTTTACGAAGCCGAAAAATGCTTGCGAGAATCAGTTTCGTGAAATGGATTTCTCGAGCTCACCTGTTGGGTTCTGACCATCACCCATACCAAAGATCAAGCAAGAAGTCTATCTACAACTGATGACACGATCCGAAGAACTTTCCGTCGGCCCGAGTCCGGCAGAGAATCTGCAAGCAGAAGTGCGTGCGGAGGAGGTGCGGGGACATTGATCGCTCTAGCCTGGCGCATATCATCTCACCGAACTCATTGAAGCGAGCTCATAGCTACTGGTGGGCTGCTGAGATCCTCTTAATTTCAGGCCAAGCCAAAGACCACCTCACGGTCGTCAACTCAAAGACACATGTTCGACGAGCAGCTGGTCCGCACCTGTGGTTCCCTGCGTTGCTATGCCTGCATTCCCGAGCGGGAAGACACGGAGACTTACTAAACTGTATAGCCCCTTTCACAATGCAACTCCTTTGCGGGTTCACTGTCAACAGTCATTTGTTTTTGCTCTCGTCTACTTAGTTTCCATATTCCAGATTTTTGGCTCATTAGGATAACTGTAGTTGTTCGTGCTTGTAAGTCGAATTACCATGGCGTCAACACTATGCCTCTGAATCTCGATTTCAGTAACGCCAACTCAGGGGATCAGTTGATGTGTCTAGAGCTTTTCGAACACATCCTTATTGACATGATGTTCTCTTTCGTAAGTATTAGCTATCGGACAAATTCAGCGAATCCAAGGTTGGTTTGAAGCCATGCTTCCAATGAGACGTTCATCACTATTTTAATTTCCTTCCTCCTCGGCAATAAGACAACCGGCCATCGGCCCACTGCCTTCCCAGAGGTCGACGACTACTACAATCGCGAAGACGGAGGGAAATCTCTGCTCTTTTGAGGGTAATTGGGCTCAAATACGAGATTTTCGCCATCTTTGATCGCCGCCGCGAAGAAACACCTGGTTCTATTCCGCTCCCTCAGGACGTAGAGATTATCGACATCAGCTTCGGCAAATCCAAGTGGTCATTGACCGGCTGGAGAAAGTCCAGCAACATGAGTGAGGTACATATGACTCTAGTATCGAATTTCTTCAGATGGAACCAGTGACGAGCGTTCATGCCTGGTGCCGAAAAAAGTGCGCCCCCCTGAGGGTGGAGGTGTGTAAGGGATATGTCGGCTCACGCCTACTGCCCCAAGTAGGTCGTTACATTACGACACGTCAATGAAACTTGGCTTTTTACAATAATCATTGTTTCCGTCTACGGAAGGAAGGCGGGGGGCCAGACCTTATCACAATGAAATTGCAGTGCCTCTGATGCTATTTTGTTTAGGCTTGAGAAGCGCGTTACAGAAACATTTTCCATCAAACGAGAAGCAGAATATCTTGCTCAGTTTCCCGTATTCCGTGTGATTATCCGTGCGCGCTGATCAACGGCCAAATATATATGTTTGATGTTGATTGGAAGCCTGGGCCATGATTCGGTCCCGAATGGGCACTCTCACATGAACAGTAACAACGACTTGATGAGACGGATGAATAAAGTGTACTAATACTTGTAGCGGGGAATGCCACATTCAGGTTTGCAACAAAACGTCCCCTGCCCGACTGACGCATTCACAATGGTGAGCGGATAGTCCCGATGGACGTGCAATCCGGAGCCAGAATGTCCACTCTCCCAGACGGCGACCCACTCTGTCGAAGCTGAGAAATGCGGGCTGATTAGGTATAGGTCTGCGGGGGAGATAAACAGACCGTCGAGCCGGCTCGAGTATCACACGTCTCATACCGGGGAGCGCAGCCCCGGTAGCACAAGCCACTCGGCCGAATAGACGGGATGGCGGAACCTCTAGGGGGCAAGTTTGCGTCCTAGCTGCACGAGGGGATAGGACCCCACGATGGGACGGGAACCAGAGCCCTGGGACCAGGGCTCACCGGGCAAACCTCCGTCGAGGCCATCGTGAGTTCATCGACGCAACCGCGGCGATCCGTGGTCTCGATCCCAACGTCCTGTACACTTCACACTCTCTCGCCGATCACTTTCCGCCTCATCGCCGCAAATGATGACAGCATCACTCCTACACGGCGCCGAGAGGGATGGGCAAACCATAAACACCGGCAGCCGTGTCCACAAGGTGCCACAAGATGGAATGGAAGCCGGCCGTCCGAACTGCCTGTTGGAATCGCCCCTCGATCCAAGCAAGAAGATCAACACGCTATCTAATGACTTCATCATTTGTAGGGGTCCAAGACGGGTCCCGCGGGAGTGGCACTCATCTTAGTGGTGGACGTCTAAAATATGGGGTAAAAGGGGGGGGGGGGGTGCGGGGTTGCTGTCCCGGACTTTGGCATCTCCCCGAAGAGCCGGGTTCCTCGTACGCCGCGGCCGAGCCGCTCTCAAACCCGCGGGTTTGTATTTTGTCTTTCTTACTCCGTACCCTTGGGGGACTCAAGAGCCTAGAACAAAGCTGAGGAGCGGCTGAGGTAAGCGATCCGCAGGGTGGAAAGTCGATGGCCGTGGATGGAGCTTCTCTGGCGCATCATTCTGTGAGTCTCTGTCTCTCAGCCCTGCCCGGTCGTCGGGGTTGGACACACCTACAAACTCCGCTCCGCGCCGAAGCCCACGCCATCTCGTACGCGCGTGGCTCTCGTCTTTTGGACACCCCCACGCGTGGTACAGAGCGAGTGCGAGAGCGCGGCACATGCCTACACTATATACCGTCTGTACAGAGTAGTATTCGTCTAGGCGTAGAAATGGTTTAGTGTATCCGTACAGCTGTAGAGTTGCCAGCTACGCCATCATGGGACACGAGTCAGATTGTTAACGTCACGGTCACGTTCGTCCAGTCCAGTCAGGCGGTCGTGTCGCGTCTCGGGCCACCATAGTCAACCATCCATCATCCCGTCTCATCGGACACACCTGTCTCTGCTTAAGACGACACACTGGAGGGAGCTTTTTTTTTTTGGTCCCCGTCAGATGACTGGTGTTCACGTGAACTCGCACACAAACCGTTTCGTTTCCGAGAGACATGCAGAACGCAGACCAATGCCAGGAACCCGGAGAGACGGCATCCCCCTCCACCACACGGGCCAACTCTTGTTTTTCTCTCGTCGCAAAGCAGACGGCGGGTGTGCTCATTCCGTGAACCGCTGATCTGGAAGGAACTCGTCTTGTGATCCGGACGGTCCTCACTGGTGTGGAGACGTCGTTCCTCGGTGCCGAGGGGCGGGAGGAATCTCATGAGCTCTTCGGGGGGGGGGGAGCGGGCACACGGAGCATGGCGCAGCGGCGAGCTGTGAGCCATGCACTACTGTTTTGCTTCAGAATGCAAGATGTGTTTGAAAACGATTTTGGGACACGGCTGTTGGTGCTTTCGCCCTGCTCATCCTCTCAGATCGTGAGCTGGTGCGTCGGCTCTATTGGGCACACTTGATTGTAAATCCGATCTGGTCTAGAGCCTGCCAACGACGACGACCCAGATGATACCGGCTTAAAGACTGACAAATCCGCTGGTGG